GCTCTGGTGCCACAATAAACTACAATTCCCAGTATTCCCTAGCACTGACCCAGGACAGTTAAAGCAGTCTCAAACTGGATTATTTCTGCAGAGTGTTTTGGACCATAGGGCCTGAACAGACTGCCAGAAATAATTCAGCTTGAGACCACTTTAACTGCCCTGGCTCATTGCTAGGGAATCATGGGAACTGTAGTTTATTGTGGCACCAGAGCTCTCAGACTGAGAAAGCTCAATGTCTCAGAAAAACTACAGTTCCCATGATTCCTCAGCATTGAGCCAGGACAGTTAAAGTGGTCTCAAACTGGATTATTTCTGCAGTGTGCTCTGGGCCTGGCATAAGTTTCACCAAGAGAATAACATACAAAGCAGACTCCAGACTCAGGATGTTGGAATATTGGCATCAATGCTTGTGTGTAGTTCTATGTTTTCCTTGAGAAGGGGGTGCTCTGCACAGGAACACTGATGTATATCTCTATGGTCATTTGGTCAGTCTTGCTTGTGAAGAGGTCACTTCTCATACCTCTCCTCTTTCTGGGGGTTTCTTCCTGGGGTAATAAAGTTTTACTGTTTGGTAGCACACTTGCCTCTCTGCTCCCATCAAGGATGGACACAGAAACCATGCTGTGTTCCTAAAGATGTTTTTCTTCTTACTTGCACACATGGAGGTCATCTATCTAGGGGCCTCTGTACCAAAGTATAGTTTTCTCTACTGAGTAGTTATTTTGTAGAACCTAGATGTGGCCGTAAAGTAAGCTGCAGAACATGTCCTGCAGAACATGTCCTACCTGGTAGTTCTGTGGTACCCACTTTCTCGAAGAAGGTCCACCATCTTGCTCAGCTGCTTTATTTCAAGAAAACCTGGGCAAGACAACAAAGGACTGGTTTGGATCTATTCCCTGGTAGTGAAAACCTAAGTGAAAGCTTGATAGAATAAACTCATCATTCCTTTCTCAACACCTATGATGTTTTCTCTCCTACCTTTCTTCCCAAGAGTGAAGGGCCTGTTGCTTCTCTAGCACAGTTTACCAAACAAACTGGGAGTGGGCCTTATAACACATGGCAGCTGGTTAGAATTTAGTGGGGATTTGAACCCTGGCCTCCTGCCCTACATTGACAGTACTGTAGGAATGGGGAATCTCTGAGCCTTCAGGTGTTGTGATGGTGGTTGAGGTGGTGTGTCTGCAAGTTGTTTCCAAATTATAGTGACCCTAAGGTGAATCTATCATGGGGTTTTCTTGGCAAGATTTGGTCAGAAGTTTGCTATTGCCTTCCCCTGAGGCAGATAACATGTGAGTTGCCCAAAGTTACCCAGTGGGTTTCATGGCAGAGCCTTCAGGTGATGTTGGACTCCAATTCCCAGTAACTCAAATAGGCTGGTCAATAGCTTGACCAGGGGCCTCAGGGTTGCCATAAATCAGAAAGGACTTGAAGGCACACAGCAACAGCAGCAGCAAATTGGGACCTGCCCCATCCATGACAGGAGTTCTGGAAAGCTTATATCCAGGGCTTTGATCCTATCTATCATAAAAGAGGATTTCCTATACCTTGGCTCACCCATTAACCAAAATGGAGATTGTAGTGGAGAAATCTAAGAAATACATAGGGCCTTTTCAGACTGCCATAAGTAATGCAGCTTGAGGCCACTTTAACTGTCCTGGCTCAGTGCTAGGGAATCATGGGAATTGTGTTTTTTCTGGGATATTTAGCCTTCTCTGTCTGACAGCTCTGGTGCCACAATAAACTACAATCCCCATGATTCCTTAGCACTGAGCCAGGACAGTTAAAGTAGCCTCAAGCTGTAGTTACAGCAGTCTGTAAAGGCCCTTAGACTTGGAAAAATAGCCCAGAAGGACCTAGATCTGTGATCTGCTACTTACCCCTCTTGCCGCCACAACATGTTAGCCAAAAATTGATTTTATTGTATTTTATTTGTGTTAATCTGATTTTACTTCCATTGCAGTTTAATTCAGTTTTAAAGGGTGGGAGGGTTGGGGGGTGGGATGAAGGAATGTTTTAATTGTTGTCTTTTTAACCTTGCTGTACGCTGCCCTGATTGCCGAGCAGAGGGGCAGGTTATAAATAAATTATTGTTATTATTATTATTATTATTATTATTATTATTATTATTATTAGATTCTCCAGTGTAAAGGCATATCATTAAATACCAAAGTCAGAATCATCTGGACTATAGTTTTGTCTATTTCTCTGTCTGGTTGTGAAAGCTTAGTAGGGATGAAAGAGGACAGGAAGAACACCAACTCATTTGAAATGTGATGCTGTAGAGTTCTATGGATAACATGGGGGCCAAGACATACTGCAGAAATAATCCAGTTTGAGACTGCTTTAACTGCCCCGGCTCAGTGCTAGGGAATTCTGGGAATTGTAGTTTGGTGTGGCACCAGAGCTCTCATAGAGAAGGCTAAATGTCTAAAAACAACAACACACTACACTTCCCAGAATTCCTTAGCACTGAGCCAGGGCAGTTAAAGCAGTCTCAAACTGGATTCTTTCTGCAGTGTCTTTTGGCCCCTGCACAAATAAATGGGCCTTACAGTAAATCAGGCCTGAGCTCCCTAAGAGCCAAGATGTCTAAACTGAGGATGCATCTACACTCTAGTAATAATGCAGTTTGACACGACTTTAACTGCCACGGCTCCATCCTATAGAAATCCTGGGATTTGTAGTTTTTGTGAGGCACCAGCAAGCACTCTTTGGCAGAGAAGGCTAAAGACCTTGTAAAAATTTCCAGGATTCCTTAGGCTGGAGTTGCAGCATTTAAAGTCGCATCAAACTGCATTATTTCTACAGTGTAGCTGCACCCGAAGCTATCATACTTTGGACATATCATGAGAGGACGTGACTCAAAGATGATAATACTAGGCGAAGTGAAAGGCAGTATGGCCTTTGCAGACTGCTAGAAATAGTGCAAATTGAGTCCACTTTT